TACGTTGGTAATTTTTTTCCTTAATTCATTAAATGCCAGTGAAAAGGAGGCAAACAGTAGTCTGTAGCTAAGCTAATTATGCTAAATGGTTTATAATCTCACACAGTCTACCCACCTCTCTTGGAGAAAAACTGGGTTATAAATTAACACTCGCCTTTTTCTCTCTCTCAGGTTTTTGAAAACCTGATTTTATAACTTTTCTTAGCAGCATAGTAACTGCTTCGGTCGTTCGTGGCCGCTGTGTTCAGCTGCAGTTTCTACTGACGCAGCTGCGTCACCGTGAAGTGCTCCAAGCAGGAACGAACCATTTCATGCAGATCCAGGGGCGGAGGCTCAGGGCAAAAACTGATGTGTGTTTTTTGGTCTGGGAGGGGTAACATTAAAATTTTACTTCTAAAAACAATCTTTGAAAATACAATATGATTAATTTTGTTTTTGACAGGACCCCAAGTTTTTAAAATTTTATTTCTGTGAACAAAATATAAATAATTAAATTGTGGAGGGCCCCCTGCTGGTCAGGGCCCCTGGAATTGTCATCACTTTTCACCCCTTTACCGCGCCCTTGATCAGGAGGACTGATCTGAATCGTTGCGTTGCAAGTCTGGGTGTTTCTTCAGATGAACCTCTGGCCTCGTCTCAAGTATTGAAAGTTTTATTTTCATTTTTCATCTCAATGCAGACATTAAACAAAGCAAAACTTTGTTTTGGTTTTCATTTGGAGAAGACGGAAATTGCGCTCAGTTCTTCTTCAGAGGTTTTTATGTTTCCCTCAGTGGTTCTTGGTGCAGTGCCCCCACAGGCGAGGAGGGAAACAGTTTTTCAATTAGTTTGGATCATTTGTGAAAGAGAGCCGCAGCAGCTGATAGTGGACCAAATGTTTATTCCAAATCAAACTGAGTCTACCAGCTGTGACGACTCTCTAAGATTGATTAACATAAAAGGTGAAAACCTATTTTACAACAAACTTATAGTATATTGCTCATTTCCAACAGGTTTTTCACCAGCTATTTTACTTTGGGATGACGTGTTCTGGATGTACATCTTGACAAAATAAAAAAAAAATTGTTTTGAGAATATAAAATACATAATTTATGAAGATAAATTAGCTTGTTTTTAAGGTTTATTCTCAGCCAGTTGGGATGTGAAGTCTATCTCAGTGTAGTACAGGCAGGAAGCAGAGGAGATTTTTGATAGTTCACAAAACACATCATGCGAAGTTTTTCCTGTGTTGTTTTGGCCATTGGACAACAGCTCTGGCAGAGCTGTTGTCCCTTCATTTCACTCTCCATCCAAGCGTTGTCAAAGTAAATCCAGGATGAACACTTCTTTCTCTCTCGTGACTTGTCCTTTACATTTCCTTCTGTGTTTATCATCATCTGTTTGTGTTGCTTCCTGCTTTCATTTATCATCTTCAGTTCTGGTAACGGATCCTGATGGTGATGACCTAAACATGTGTCTCTGTTTCATGTCAGGTAGCTAGCTCCTGTTAGCACCTCTCCTTCCTTTAATGTTTGATTTCATGTCTTTTATGCTCCAACTCATGTCCCTGTTTTTCTGTGCTCTTACTGCTGTCATGTCTCTTTCTTCAGTTTATTTTCTTCGACCTGTAATTAGGCTGGAATCCAAAGCTCTGTGAAACTGTCATACTCTTAACAACCAGTTGTGCTTTGTACAGTCTGACATAATTCAACCTTCTTCCCAAGTGTTTTTCTGTTTGGTTCCTTTCAAAAATACAATGAAAAAAAATAAACTTTATATATTAAAAATTTAAGCATAATAATAGTTGCAGGGGAGCCATGAGTTCCCTGAGATGAATTTTAAATTCCCTCAGATATTGTCATATTGATATTAAAGCTCAATGCAACACATCTATTTTTCCACAGATGTGAAAAGTGAAGAAATATTGTGAATTTTGTGTAGCATAAAGTTTTGTCATATGTTTAAGGTATGCTGTTAATGTGCTTCTGGTTTGAATAGTGCTTGCATAGTTTGAATAATGCTTGGATCAAGTGTGTGGACTGCAGAGATAACTGCATTAGTCACTTCTGTAGTCAAGTCACTTCATGGATGATTTTTTTCATATTTAAGGATCAATCAATTATCTGGGAATTAGATTTTAATGCTCGTTGAGATAGGGGTGTAGCGATACAATAATTTCACGATACGATATACAATATTCTGGTCACGATACGATATGTATCACGATATTTGTTGTTATACAATTCGCTACGATTCAGTGCATTTTTATAATTTTCTGAAAGATTTTAGGACAGAGTAATTTTAGTGACATTTTGTGTTCCATAGACTTGAATTTAGTTAACAGAAAACTGATTAAAATCACCAACTACACAATACCTGACTCTGATTGGACAGAGTCTAACAGTCTGCAGCTGGACAAAATGAATCAAAGATGCAGTGAGATAATTAGTTTCTGTCATTTAATTCATGTGGATTTGACATAAAACTCAAAAATTTAAACTAATCCAGGAGCAGAGTGGGGAGATTATCAGCCTCTGTAGATTCTCAATATGCAAACGATTGCACTTATGTTTTTTCTTTTGGACACTGTGGCTGCATTTTGGAGTAAAAATGCAGCCACAAATGCAGTGTTTTGGACTATGGGGAAAAAGTCTTTTCTACCTTGGTTCCCGGAGTTAGCCGTGGCTGTAAGCTGCTGTCGTCTAACTGCTAAAGTAGTGGCTCCGCCTCACCCCGTAGTGATCGACTCCCTGCAGCTACACAGCGCCGCTATTATCCTGCTTGGATCTCTGAGTAGCTGCCTCTCAGACTGCCAGGATCTCATAGTACTCTCAGTCTCTGATACTCTTTGTCTGTTGCTAATAAGAATAATCGATCAGCCATTGTTATCATGGAAATCCTCACTGCGCCGCGGATTCCGGCTGGGGGTTTTTCCTCTTCGTCTTCCTGCTCAAAACACAGCGCCGCTGCGCGCCCGCTTCGGATGTTATCAACCCATGTTCATTCTTCAGGTAATCCTTTATATACAGAACAGAAACCGCTAAGCTAAAAACTAATTACGAAGTGAATGCTACCAGTCGAAATTTGCATTAATTTCGCGATCTCACTGCTTTTGCAGCTGCTCCGTTCGCGCCGCTACTCCTTTCCGCTTCTCTTTCACGGTTACTTGCGCAACTTTACTTCGTTTTTCAGCAACAAAATACAGCCCATCGTTATTTATTGAAGATTTTACATTTCCAAAAACAGGAATCTAATGTTTCGTTTCGTTTTGTACGTTTGGAAGCTCATTCCCTCTCACATAATCGGAAAAGCCGGGGAATAGCGGCGCTTTTGACATTTCTTTGACATTCGGAAAAATATGGTTAACTAATTTTAGCATAACTCCGGTTATACTTGGCCTATTAAAACAATTTAAAAACCGGTGTGTAGTTTATAATGTGCACTTTAAGCTCAAGTTGAACGTGAGACTGAGGGAGGCGGAGTCTTGCTGCTACTCTGTAACAAACTAGACTTAAAAAGAGCTATATGGCTATGGACCCCTATGGTTTAACGATCAATACTCGCGGATGAAAAATCGAGGGCGGAAAATATCGATATATATTGCCGAATCGATTTATTTATACAGCCCTACTTTGAGAAGTGACCGCAAGTATTTAAATGATTATTAATCAGAAAGTAGATCATGTCGTCCGTTTCACTTTCAAGCATCCAGCATCTTGAGCTGAGTGATTCTTCATTGATGCAGACAAAAGGTTTGATTAGTGTTGCATGTGATTAAGCACCTTTATCACATGGCAAAGATGGTATCCCATTCAGTTCCTGTAAAACATTCCATGCCTTAGCCTTCATCCCAACACAGACTCCCTGTTCCAAACTAGTGTGCACAATAAATTACATCATGATAAGTCCTAAGGAAGCTGGTTGAACATTTTGTATAATATTGTCTATAAATGGCTTTGAAGATAAGACGTGAATATTCTGTTTTATCCTGGAGGGTCCAAAATGCTGCCCCTGGCTGAAGTTCGAAAATGTTCCAGATCTGTCAATCTGGATCTGAGGCAGATGGACACTTTCAGGGCCGGCCCAAGACATAAGCAAACTAAGCAGCCTCTTAGAGCCCCAGGGCCACCAAGGGGCCCCCTCAGTGGAGTTGATTTTTTTATTTTTTTTTTGTAATGATTTCTGTCATTATAATAACAAAAACACACAATTTCATCATGAAGTGATTTGTTTTTACAATAATATATATTTGATGATGTATGTATAAATCTTTATTTTATGGACAAAAAGAAAACAAATTGCTCTTGGGGGCTCCTTGGTGGCCGCGGTAGGTCATTCACACTTGCAGAGCACATCCAAAGGTCCAAAGCTCCGGTAGAACAGTCGTCCCCAACCACTAGGCCGCGGACCAATTGATACTGGGCCACACAAGAAATAAATATTTTCGTTTTATGTATTATCTGAGTCTGGAGGATCTTTTATTTTGAAAACCCTTTAACTAGATTCTCTCAGTTACGTCTTGCGCGCCAACATTGAATCCACAATTAATAAGAAACAGATGTCTTTGGAAAGTTTCTTTGGAAAAGCGGAGAAAGACCAGAGACAGGAGAGTGGATTTATCCTGGACCTGTAGGTGACTCCCATGTTCCAAGCCCACACTGCATAATATGCACTGGCTTACTAATGAGGCAATGAAGCATCAAACTGCTTTGCCATTACACACCAAGCACCCTCTGCATTGGGTGTCATCGTTTCCCAGGTGGGATCATCTCATTGCAGAGAAACAAGCTCAGGACTCCCATTAATTTATAGTTGTGAGTTAAAATTTTCATGAAAATAAATGTTCGTTTTTGTGGCATATTCAAATCTTATTTTGAAGGGATGTGTGAATGTTGCCAGAGCGACCAGAGTCTGAGAGCATTATGGCAGTTATCGAGACGAGAGAAATAGAGCTTGTAAGTCTTAAGTCTGGTTCACACGGCATGATTTTAGGATTCAGACGATTTTCCAAACTNTACCTCAGGAGGGTTGGTTGAACAGAATCCACATGCATCCATGTCACCAGCCTGACACAGTTCATCTTTGGAAATCTGAAATGTAAAGAACACTCACTAAATGTTTGTTCCCAATATAGAAAACAGTCCTCCCTATTCCTGCACCTTACATTTTGAGTATTACACAGGACCTGTGTGTATGCGTGCTTCTCAATGTAACTTTCATTCTTCTGTACTTGTAATTTCAAAACGTAGTCTTCCTTATTCCTTCCCCTTACATTTTGAGTATTACACAGGACCTGTGTGTATGTGCGCTTCTAAATGTAGCTTTCATTCTTTTATATGTGTAATTTCAAACCTCAGTTCCCCCCTTTACATATCAAGTGTTACGCAAGACTTGTGTGTTTGAACAGTACTCAATATCATATCAAAAACTCTATTTTAGAAAATAAGTTGGTCGTTGGAGATCAAAATTACCTCATGAGGGTTGGTTGAACAGGATCCACATGAATTCACGTCACCAACCTGACACGGTTCATCTTTGGAAATCTGAAATGTAAAGAACACTTACTGAATATGAGTTTGTTCCCAATTTAGAAAACAGTCCTTCCTATTCCTGCCCATTACATTTTGAGTATTACACAGGACCTGTGTATATGAGCGCTTCTTTAAGCAAGTTTCATTCTTCTGTACTTGTAATTTCAAAACGTAGTCTTCCTTATTCCTTCCCCTTACATTTTGAGTATTACACAGGACCTGTGTGTATGAGCGCTTCTAAATGTAACTTTCATTCTTTTGTACATGTAATTTCAAAACTCAGTCCTCCCTTTTTATGTGGCTTACATATCAAGTATTACACAAGACCTGTGTGTTTGAACCGTACTTAACAGTCATCCCCAACCACAGGACCGCGGACTAGTACGAGTCTGTGGACCAATTGGTACTGGGTCGCACAAGAAAAATATTTACATGTTACGTATTGTCTGAGTCTGGAGG